ATCACGGCCACCTCGGCGGCGTAGCCGGCAACAGCCCTCTTCTCTGCCACCTTTGTCCGCTGGTTCCTCCTCTTGGTCGATTCGGCGTCGAGCTTGGTAAGCTCCATCGGCCTAAGCTCCGCCCGCGGCCGTGGCCGGGTCGCCTAGATTCGTTGGGGCACCGGCCCTAGAAGAGCGAGGGGAGGAGGGCGCTGGAGGGTTTTGGGCGAATTAGAGGGAAAGTGGGCCCGGTGTGTCCCAGATGGGCGGGGCAGGAAAGGACAAGGGCGTGCGTCCCGCCCATCCGTGCGATGTCTATTTCGACGTGAGCCCGGCCGAAATTTAGGCTAGGAATGGGTAAAAAGCGGAACGAAAACGGACATTTGTCCGTTTGCTCCTGCGCGTTAGGCCGCGTTTTCTGTCTATTCATCCCCGAACGAACGCGGCCGGACTATTTGCGGTCGCGCGTCGGAGTTGCCCTTACCTCACGGCCTCATCACCCTTACGTTTACGTGATCGACCGGTGAGAACGGGCGGGCGCAACAAACACGTCCATCTCGGGGATTCGATTTCAAGTGCAAACTACATATACGTGACGGTGATGTCTGGGGGGACATCGAATATTTAAGCGCGGAGTTCAAATCTCGCCACACTAGGACGGGACAGCGACGGCGGGCAATTTGGCTGCGATCTTGCAGCAATGGCTCTACCCGCGTGCTGACAGCTGCGCGCCTGGCTTGACTAACGATTTACTTACGCACCGATGCCTGTACTGACATCAATTTGATTTTTTTAGAAAAGGGACTGACATCAATTTGATAGTAGTACTCCGTTAAGGCGTAGGCCCAGGCAAGCACGCAGCACGGACATGACTGCGACCTGTGGTACGTACGTACGTACACTGGAGTGTGTATGGTATACAAAGGGAAATAATTGCACGGCCTTCTCCGGCCAGATCAAAGAAAGCACCCTGGTAGCTACAAGGCCAAAGAGATATGTCAATTTGTGCTCATAGGCAGCCGTCCGAATCCTACCCGACTAATCGTGGGTAGGGTATATGGTAGGGCGGACATCCCACATAGTCCTGGATCAATAGAGGGTTAGTTCAAATTGAACTAAATCTAAAGGGAGAACTAATAACTACGGTAAATCTAGTGCGGGGCGGATCGGGCGGCACTCTGCACACCTAGATAGAGGTAGTATAACTCTTTGCCCACAGTATGCGGAGCCCAATCAGACAAGCTAATATGCGTGGCCAAACTATTGTTTGAGTTTCTAGACTATTAAGTTAAGTCATACACTTTAACTGTATGATGCGTGAATGTACAACAAACCCTTTGTTTAAACAACTGAAGTCTTCTACTCTGAAATATTGAAATCTTTTTTGTTTGATCATGTTATAAAACGAGTTCAATTTTTGCATTTCTTAAAAATACTATCGGATGATATATATTCCTTCAAGTGTGTTGAGCTTGCTGTTGGGTACCCATCGGGCATTGATACCCATCGGGTATGGGTACAAACAAGGTTTTGTACCCGTGGGCTAGGGTATGATGGGCATACATTGGCCCTATTTGTTTTAACTTTAGGCACCAGATTCTTGTAGAAAAAAAAATCAGAAGCTAGAATAACAACCATTTGGAATCAGCTTTGCCAATGAAACTGAATATGGATTCACACCATTTTTAGGGCAATTGCTTGAAGCATGTCCAGGTGTAATTCAATGGCAAACCTAATTCAGCTTTGCGTGAAGCGAATTCATAGGTGATCCAAAGCCAACTGAAACTGAAACAAACAGGGTCATTGATTCCTATGAGCATGTAGGGTATGGGTATGACATTGTTGTAACTGTCCCATACCGGACCCATTGACATCCTATTTGTTAAGTGAAGCTAGTGGAGTGTCTTGGAGAAAAGTCGTTAGGTAGAAAGAATTGAAGGAGTGTAGATGGTTAAGAAGTTGCTTCAGCAGAACTTCGCAAGGAGACATGGCAGGAATTCTACGGTGCTCGTGATCACGGTGAATTGATGTTGTCGCTAATTCATCTAATATTGCTTGGCTTTTTTGAGGTGCCTTGAGCTTTTGTAGAGAATTGTTTATGAGCTTTTTATGTGTATTTTAGCTTCATGTGCTTATGTTATACTCCCTCCGTTCCAGAATATAAGGTGCATTAGTTTTTGTGTAAATTAAACATATATATTTAACCATTATTATAGAATAAAATATAGACATCTACAATACAGAACAAATAAAATATTAAAATAATTTCCAAAATGGATCTAATGATACAAATTTTGTATTGTAGATATTGATTTTTTTCTAAAAACTTGGTCAAACATGCAAATGTTTGATTTAAAAAAAACTAATACACCTTATATTTTGAAACAAAGGCAGTAATAAGTAGAAAAGTGTCGTCTAGGTTGCTTGGATGGGCCAGAGGGTCTCGTCAAGAGGGTGGAGTGAGTTACCCCTCCTTGCTTACTCCTTTTTCCTTTGTTTTGTACTGCCTCTGCAGAAATACCTAATGGAGCTCGAGCTCCATGAAGCTCTTTATTTGAAAACTTTAAAATAATTGTTTCAGTTTCAGAAAATGCTGGAAAAAAGTTACACATATACATATAGATGTATACTACTCGTCTGCAAAGTTTCATGATGAAATACCTTTCTTTACGTGAGGTACAGAAAAATGACAAAATCACGTATTTTCTAGCACATGTACTATTCACTAAAACCACATGATTTTTTTTTGTGTACATGCCACATAAAGAAGTATTTCGTGCTGGAATTTCACACAAATCTATTATACATCTATAACCACTTGTGTATTTTTCAGAATTTCTTAACTCTTTTATTTTTTTTAAAACTTAAACAAATGATTTTTGAATGTTTGAAAATAAAGGGCGCCATGGAGCTTGAAAGCGAAAAAAATCCACTCTCCTACCTTAGTAACTAAATATATTATAGAGGTAGTATGTTTTTAAGCACTTTGTAAACCAATTTGCATCACACATTCAATTAACCAGCAAAAGTTTTTCAAAGAAAAAGACAACTTGTAAACTGTTCGCAGTTTCTTCGATGAAAATCGCCAAGGAGGCTCCTTGTTTAAAAATAAAATTCAACCAATGTGGCATGAATCGAGCTGTTGGATCCACTCTGCTGTTTCACCCATTTGCATTCCTCACATACCCAGTGTTGTTCTTTTTCGCAGCGGGAAGTTGTGATCCAATGCAGCGGCGGTGGATCTACTCGGATCCGGTCTATGTTCGTGTGCTTTCAGGTTGGATCCTTCCGATCTATACGTTTCTTCATTGGTGGGCGGTTGTTGTTCTGGTGCCCTGGTTCTAGGTAGCCGTAGCATGACGACTTTTCGACTGTCTATTACAAAAAGTTTTGTCCGGCTCCGGCGAGGGAGGGGCGATGATGGCGCAGCGTCTTCGGCTCGCTCATTGTTTGTACTCGTCGTTGGGTGGTCTATGGATCTTGAAGTGAATTTTATTATATCTGGTGTTCGTTGTACCGCCATGATTGAAGATAAGTAGATAATTTTTTGAAGAAAAAACACCTTGTAAACTGTTGGCGATTTCTTTGATGAAAAACACCAAGGAGGCTCCTTGTTTAAAAATGAAATCGACCAATGTGGCCTGAATCCATCTGCTGTCTGGGCGTAAAGTCAATATAAGCGAGCGATATGAGCACCAACATCTTGACTTTGTTCCACTCGAACTGTGTTATTTCTCCCATTTGCATTGCTCACATGCCCGGGGATGACTAATTCTTTTTCGCAACTGGAAGTTGTGATCCAATGCAGCGGCGGTAAAGATAATGCTTGTATCTACTAGCACCAGTAGTATAGCTACGAGTACTATGCTATGCTGACCCTCCATGAAGCCCCGTCTTAGCTATGCTATGTTAATTTAATGGAACCGCCAACATTGACGCTATAAACTAGTTTTAGCATGATGCGCCGGGGATTTGGGGGTCCCTTTCCTCATTTGGACGTGACGGCCGCTGCCTGAACCTAATCCGTAATGAGGGCAGGTTAATCGCCTCTCCATGCACGCGGACGAATTTGTTTGCAGAATGCGTATGCCAGCGGTGCTCCACATACGACGTAGCGTACATGGTTGAGCTCAGGCTATTCGATTCGATTCCGTGCATGTATGGCCCAATCGATGCAGCTATACTGGCTGTAGCTGCTATACGGAGTAGCTGCAGTTCATCGCTGGATGGATGGATGGATGGATGGATGGGTTGGTGAGCAACGTGATCGATGCGCGCGTACGTGCCGTCACCTCTCTCCCTCCCGGGGAGGCCCGGCCCGGTGGCGCCGCACGAGGCCCGCGTGACGACGTGCCGCCGCAATCCGCGCGCACCCCACAGTGGGCATGGGCGATGGAGCTACGGCTACTGAACTGAACCGAACCGACCTTGCAGCTCACGCGCCTCATGTGTATGCCTACTCCTACTAGCTAGCTCGGCCGGCCGCTTCTCGTTGCCCACCGGATCGGAGCAAAACCGCATGGCCATCACGTGCCACCCCATGCCGGAGCTGGCTCCCGCTCCACCGCCGATCGTTGTTCCCCCCGGTCCCGGTCGCTTTGCGTGCCAGGCCAACACAAATACGGAACTCACACAAATATCGTACTACTACTCCTACTACGTCCGTCGCGCTAGCCTTGGTCCTTGGATGCCCCTCCACTACTAACGCCCGCAGTTACCGCCATCATCAATTTGGCCAAGCGAAACGCCTGCACTGCTTCTCTCTCGGCACTGATGATGCGCCGGACCATCATCATCAACGCCATTAATTAAATTGAATTGAACCGATCGCCCTGGTTTCGATCCGCCCTCCGCTCCCCCGATGGAGCTCCCCTCCGTCCGCCCGTGTGCGTCGCCCTTGCCGCCTTTCCTGCGGCTATAAAACCGGGCCACGCCCCGACCATGACTCCCCAACTTCAACGCACGCACCACCCCAAAAGCCTCAACAACACCCGAACCAAAGCAAGGCAAGCGAAGAATCCATGGCGACTCCCGACGACTGCGCCGCCAGCTGGCTTCTGTACCTTTCGCTCGCCGCCAAATGCGGCGGCGATCACCCCGGCCGCCTCGCCGGCCTCCTCGCGGTCTGCGCCGCCGCCTTCGCACTCACCTGCCTCCTGCACTGGTGCTTCCCCGGCGGGCCGGCCTGGGGCAGGTGGTGGCTCACCCGCCGCCTCAAGGGCTCCCTCGTCTCGGGGCCCAGGGGCTTGCCGCTGATCGGCAGCATGTGGCTCATGACCGGCCTCGCCCACCGCAAGCTTGCCGCCGAGGCCTCGCGCCTGGGCGGCCGTGCTAAGAGGCTGATGGCCTTCTCCCTCGGCGAGACGCGCATGGTGGTCGCCGCGCACCCGGACGTGGCTAGGGAGATCCTCTACAGCCCGGCCTTCGCCGACCGCCCCATCAAGGAGTCGGCGTACGGGCTCTTGTTCCACCGCGCCATCGGCTTCGCGCCCCACGGCGCGTACTGGCGCGCGCTCCGCCGCGTCGCCTCCACGCACCTCTTCTCCCCGTGGCAGGTCACCGCGTCAGCTCCCCAGCGCGCTGTGATCGCGCACCAGATGGTCGCAGCCCTCGCTAGCGCCGGCGCCGGCGTCGAGGTCCGGCGCGTGCTGCGGCGCGCGTCGCTGCACAACGTGATGTGGTCCGTGTTCGGCCGCCGCTACGACCTGGGCACCGGCAAGGAGAGCGAGGAGGTCCGCGAGCTGAGCCACCTGGTGGACGAAGGCTACGACCTGCTGGGCCAGCTCAACTGGTCCGACCACCTCCCCTGGCTGGCCCGCTTCGACCCGCAGGGCACACGCGCCCGGTGCTCCCGTCTCGTCCCCCTCGTGAACAGCTTCGTCGGCCGCATCATCGACGACCACCGCTCCGCCGCTCCGTCCGCCGCCGTCAAGGACTTCACCGACGTCCTGCTCTCCCTCCAGGGCGGCGACAGGCTCGCCGACGCCGACATGATCGCGGTGCTCTGGGTGTGTGCAACCGAACCCAAACCAACTCCCAAGCGTACACAGCCACGCACGTTTCGTTTCGTTCCAGGCCTCTGATACGTTCATCTTTGGTGTGCAGGAGATGGTGTTCCGCGGGACCGACACAGTGGCGGTGCTGATGGAGTGGGTGCTGGCCCGGCTGGTGCTGCACCCGGACGTGCAGGCGCGGGTGCACGAGGAGCTGGACCGCGCGGTGGGGCCCGACCGCGCCGTGACCGAGTCCGATGCCGCCTCCCTCCCCTACCTCCACGCCGTCATCAAGGAGACACTCCGCGTTCACCCGCCCGGCCCGCTGCTCTCCTGGGCCCGCCTCGCCACCTCGGACATTCACGTTGACGGGTTCCTCATCCCCGCTGGCACCACAGCCATGGTGAACATGTGGGCCATAACCCACGACCCCGACGTGTGGGCCGAGCCGGACGAGTTCCGCCCGGAGCGGTTCGTCGCCGGACAGCCGGCCGCCGAGCTCTCCGTCATGGGGTCAGACCTCCGCCTGGCGCCGTTCGGGGCCGGGCGGAGGAGCTGCCCCGGGAAGAGCCTGGCGATGGCGACGGTGGCGTTCTGGCTGGCGACGCTGCTGCACGAGCTGGAGTTCCTGCCCTCCCCCGACCCGGCGCGCGGCGTCAACCTGGGGGAGACCCTGAGGCTGTCGTGCGAGATGGCGGCCCCGCTGGCCGTGACGCCGAGGCCGCGACGCCCGGCGGCGTGATGACGCAGCGTGCCTACGTACGTGCGCGCGCGCGCCGCTAGCTGCCTAGAGGCGTTGTCGCTACCGGTCGGCTCGCTGGCCTGGTACCACGCACGCACGTACGCTTATCCTGATGAGCAACTAGCAAGTGATGAATTACCTAGTAGTAGTAGACTTTATATATGGACGTGCCAGGTGACGACCGTGATGTTTTTGCCTTCTTTTTGTTCGTTCCCAGTTATTATTTCGTTAGCCTTTTATTATTTTCTCTTCTGCAACTGCCCTGTAAGATACTGCTAGCTGATGTATATATATTCTACTACCTACCGGTACTAAGAAACAAATGTCTCTATCTTGTTATTATTATCCTATTCTGAGCATAATGCTACTAGTAGTACCTGGTATGGTGACACAGTGGATGGGGTATGATCACGTCCAAACATGGCTGGTAAATATCAAAACATGTACACCAACCAAGCAAGCATATCCAAGTCTACAGTGACAGTAGATTCTTGTCGCGTGATCAGCTGAAATGCACCGCTAAGTTATTGCAAATGCTAAATATTTGCGTGTTTTCTGAAATTGTGAGGATGGCATGAGCTATCAACAGGGTTACCACCCCCTGGGGCTGAGCATGGCCAAAGCGCGCGGAAAACAACCGGGCAGCCGTTTCTACCCAAGCGCGTGCCTCCCTTATCCCCGCGCGTGCACCCATCCACACCGCCCAAAAAGCACTTCTCCAAGGCCACCAACAAGTTGCGCGCTACGCTACAACCTCTGGGGGCTCAAAGATTGCTCCGTGGTGAACCCGACCGCATGCACGGCACGATCTTTGTGCAACAACATCCAACCACTGGTGGAAAAAGGGCCTTTGGTCGCGGTTCGCAACTGCCATTAGTCGCGGTTGCGCAACCGCGACCGACCGGGCGCGACTAAAGGCCCCCCCCTTTAGTCGCGGTTGCTTAAGAACCGCGACTAAAGGCCCGTCCACGTGGGCGCCAGGTGGCCGTCGGGGCGGAGGACCTTTAGTCGCGGTTCTTGTGGCTAACCGCGACTAAAGGCCGCCACAGGTTTTTGAAAAAAAAAATTGAATTTTTTTTTCAAATTTCTGAATTATTTTAACCTCTAGTCTCTAATCACCACCCCTCATCACTTCTCAATTTATTCTTTTATCACCCATCATCATTCCAAATCATCTAACTTCCCAACCGGTCACCCATCCCTCTCACTACTCCAGCCCAAGCACGCTTAACTTTCGGGTTCTATTCTCCCACGCTCCAAGTCTGCACTTGTTGTTTTCCTGACAATAATAAGATGTCAATCCTATTAACCTTCAGGAATTTTGCTTGAGCATGAAGTGACACATTTCACTGTTTGAGTTTGAAACTATTGTTTTAAAAGACAATAATTATTTAGTAACACTAATATTTCTTGAATAATTAGTTTGACCATTGTTTGACCACAGTTTGACCACAGTTGACCACAGTTTGACCAGATTTGACCAAAATTGAAATAATTAAAATAATTATTTAGTAACACTAATATTCTAGAATAATTAGTTTGACCATTGTTTGACCATAGTTTGCCCACTGTTTGAATATTTTTCAATTTTTTCCACTCTAGATCTTACAAGCCCCGTAACTTTTTTTCTATTAGGTTTTTGAGGATTTTGAAAATGTTTAACGGGGTTCCCCCGTTAAATTTGAATGTAACTTTTCGAGTAGATGATTTTTCATATAAAAAACTTTTTCATCCGAGTTAGTATGCAAAAGTTATGCCCATTTTTACAAATTTCAGAGAGATTTTGCAAATAAAGTCAAAATTCACATTTGCAAATTTTCCCAACAACTAGACCACATATCACATATGCAAAAGTTGGGCTCTTTTATTAGGCTGTTCACCTGGCGTTGGAGCTTGATGGGTTCAGGCCTTGTTTTTAGTTGGGTTCATATGATTACGTATCTATCTACGTGTACTATACCATGAGAAGTCGTTGGGTTCATCTGACCCCAACGCTAACACGCTGCCTCTGCCTCTGGTAACATCGAGTAAAATAAGATTCTTTTAAAAAATGTAGCCATTGTTGGGACAATAATTGTTGAATGCTTGACAAACATGCAAAATTTCGTGGTGAAAAAACATTTGTGGAGATCTCCGTTAAAAACAAAGTTCTAAAAAGGGCATTTTTCAAAGCACTTTGGACCATCGATTTTTCTTGTTCAGGCCTCCGTGCATGTTTTTCCATCAAGAAACTGTGCATGTTAGTAAAACATCTGTGGTGAAGCCGGTGTTGTGGCGGCGGCGGGGTCGGCAATTGGATGGGGAGCAGCGGTTATGCGACGCAACCTGCTTCACAACCAGCCTCGCAGCCGGCGGAGCAACTCCTCCATGGTTCGTCGGCGCCTCGGTTCCCCGTGGTCAATGTCAGGTATTGGCATTTGCAATTCTTTAGTTATATTTAATCTATATTTAGTTAATTTGTTGAATATGTGCAATTGAGTGTCTGAATTTTCACTGCCTAGAATTAGTGATGAAGGGGATGAATCTGAAGGACCATACCAACTGAAGAAAGGAATGAAGAAGAAAAAGATTAAGGAAAGGATATGGTTTGATGCTTCCTTGCCTGATTCACATTTGCTGTTGTGCAAGAGCTTGTGCTTTGATACTATTTACCAGTTTAGAGATGCATTAAGGGATTTCCATATAAGGACTCTGGGGTCTTCTCACTGTCATAGGAATACCCCAACTAGGATTATTGTGTGGTACTCACAGAGAGAGCATGGATGTGAATTTATATGTATGCCTTCCAGATAGCTCATGAAAGTACTTTCTGCATTAAGAAGTGTAACATGGAGCACACTTGCCCAGCATCAACAGAGACCACAAGAGATTACTACTAAGTGGCTCTCCTAAGCTGTTGAGCCCTCTCTGAGAGCAGATCCAAGAGCTCCTGTGGCTTCATTAATTAAAAAGAGCAAAGTTAAGTTTTCAGTTTCTGTATCTCAGAGTGTGGCGTGGTTTTAGTTGTTCGTGGTGTCTCCGGTGTCTAACAAACTTGGTCCGGATGAAGTATCCTTCAAGAAGGCGTAGTTTTAGTTGCTTGTGGTGTTTCCCATGTTGGAATTGAAGATTTTGGACGCCGTGTTTGGTTTTGGGCTGCTTCTCAGGGCGTCGGCATACACTCAACCTAAGTTGAGCTATTGTTCTCTCCTATCAATGAAGTATCGGGCGCGTCCGCGGGCACTGAACGGGCACCCCTCATATTTGCCACTCTACATTCGTGCATCTCATATCTGGTGCCTTATATCCATACTACACATGCAAACGTTGATCTATCCTACGTGATCAAATGACGGACAACAAAAATCGCCTGCAAAGGAACACAAGATCAGCTGCAAACGGACATTAACATACTTCATCACATCCAAAAGATCATAGT